GTATAGACTTTAAAAGACTCGAAATAAGTCCAGTACCCAGCCGGTTTCCCTCCACTCACTGAAAAGACTCCACCACATCCCGTTCGACTGTGGGTATATCTCGAATGGGTAGTCTTTCTGTGTGTGTTTTTATTATTCCTTAATTATTCCTCAAGTCTTCAACATGCTCCTCATCCCACATGCCATGCCATTCTCCCGATCCCCGACCGCGCGAAGTTCCGCCGCGTCGACGCGCGTGGTGAGTGTAACGGGTAACGGGAACACGGATACACGCACACACAGCGGGGGCTAAGTCATCAGAGGGAAACACCTGCCGTACTCTTGTGGTGTTTGTTCTCACTGCTGTGGAGCAGTGTGGTACATCTAGCGAACGGCAGTATTACCGTAATCGTACGCACACAGCCTTTCGGTACGTGAGGATCCACGGATATACAGCAGTAGCACTGCGTCACCCCGGGTTATTCCCAGCAAGCCAGACACCTTACGGGACCAGAGGAGCGGAGCTGGGGTGTCGCTGCCCAACCTGGCTCTAGTACGAGACTTTCGTTGCTGCCGTGAGTGTCTTTAGCCGTGGTCGCCGTTTGCAGTAAAGAAGAGGCAGACTAGACATATTTGACTACAGTACTGTACAAGTTGTAGATACTCCTGAAATTTGCAGTAGGTGGAAATAGGTGGACTACTTGCAGTAGGTGGAAAGGTGGACTACTGCTGTACACACTCGTTGTTCTCTAAGATCCAAGGGCGTGATCTCCTGTTTCCCGGCTTGTGATAGGCTGATGGATTGATGGGGTTTTCGCAGCCTGCATCACAAAGAAAGACGGTAAGACTTCTCGGTCATGTAAACGCGTCAAGGTCGATGCTGTACAAAAAAGGGAGAGATGGAGTTTTCATCGACAACGTGAACAACAGATGTTGATGCGACGTGCGTATGTTGAAGTAAAGGCTGTTTACCATGTTGCAGGTGTTGGGGTCGTTTTATTTTTCTAAAATGCCCGTGTCGATTGTTGTTGTTGTCGATGTCTTTGTTGTTGCTGTCTTCACGTTAGTAACCGTTCCGATCTCTACCTACTCCCTCCGTACTATTCTAGCACTTGACGCGGTCGATTCCCGTGGGCTAACCTACCCAACAAAGGTACAAAAAAATAAAATGGATCCGAAGGGTCGGCAAGTCAATAGAAATCAACGAAGATAGTCTAGGACCCTCCGCCCGCCCCTACACGCTATGCGAGGTAACTGGAAAAAGAAAAGAAATGAAAAAGAACAAGAAAGCAGACAGAGAAAAGAGAAAAACGCAGAAGAGAGAGAACGACATACGCCAGAACCACTAACTACCGAAGCGAAAAACGGACAGAATAACACAAGCCAACACAAAGGGGCCACCCGAGACAGCAAAGGCACATCATCTTCTCGTGGGGGGTTGGTGCAATGGTGCGTTATTAGTCAATCAAGGGGTTCAATCCGGCCAGCATTTCGCGCCACTCGTGCCGCCTCTTCTCGTTTTCTGTCTTCCCTCGCCCTCTCGTCCGTCTGCTTCACCCCTCCCACCCCAGTGGTTCTTGCCGTGTCCGTGCTGTTACCGGGCTTGTTGTTTTGTTTGAGTGCTCGCTCGTTGTCGGCTAGTCTCCTCTTCATCCTGGCGGACCATGAACCTCTTTGCACCCTGCAGTACCCCGGTATGCCACGGTGCACCCCGGTCCGTCTTCGCTGCTTCCATCCAAGTCGATGCTTCATGTTATTACAATCGACCCTAAGAGCCTTAGTCTACAGTAGTCTTCACGCGAGGCTGTAATAACAAACAATACGAGGTACGTGATACACTACAGCTGTAGTCCAGACTACAGTTATTTGTTTCTCTATCAATTCATATCAGCGCTCACAGCACGTGTGCCGTGTACTACAACCCGTGGTCACCCAGAAGGGTTCCTCTCCCTCAGGCCCCCTACCCACCCCTCCTGCGGTAATTTCCCTTCGATTTTCAATGCGAGAAGACACATGGCGGTGTTTGTTGTGTTTCTTTCGAGTTGCTTCATCATGATCGGTTTCTAGATCACCAGGAATGGAAGAGAAAAGGGGGTAGGAGCTGGCGCTAGAAACACACAAGTCTCGCGCCTGATTCCCCCTCAAAAACTGTCTCTCTCTCTCTCTTTCTCTCTCTCCCTCTCTCTGCTCGCAAGTCAGCTATTTCCAGCCGGGGGAAATCCGACTGCTGCTACTGCACGCAGGGGTCTGGAATGACTAATTCCCCAAATGGTACTCGACCATTCAACTACACCCTTGACAACTCTAGAAACCCCGCCAAAGGAAATAAAGGACTTTGTACCATTTCCGTTCCCCCACCTTCGAAAGAAAAGGGGTGGGTGGGCGCGAAAAAGACACTGCTTCTTGTGGCCGCCGGTCTGTGTTGGCCAACGCCTCAATCCTGTGGCGTGCTCACGTACTCCGTGGTCCTCTCTCGCGCTCACAAGCGCAACAGCCGACGACTACGGCGCACGAGTGCTCTCTCCGCTGGAGTCCGGAGGTTCGGGGGGCACGCGAAGTGTGCTCTGCATGTATGTAGCCCCGGTTTTTCAACAATGACGCGTTAAAAATCTTACGTATTCAACAAACGTCACTTGTTCCGTCTTCGCAAACAAACTTGGCTATTAGTGACACACGGGCTTCACACGTACGTTGTCCACGTTCGTACAGCACAGGAGCAGCCGCTGTGTCTATGGTGTTGTTGTAGGCAGCGCAAGACACCCACGGCGTTGATTCCCGTTGCAGGAGAGACAGCAGGAACTGATTGCAGTACAATAACGCATGCGGGATCCTCTTTGGAAAGTTCGCGGTTCTGCGTCACAGAAGTACCGTTAGTCTAGAGGTGAAGGTCTAAACGCAAGACTTTGCCACAACTAACCCTCTCCTTACTCCCGATCCCCACACCAAAAACGCTTCCTCTCGCTTTCATGTGGCCGTCTTTCATGAAAACTCACTACCGTTACATCAAGGACAGCCACAGCGAGAACCGCCACACCAACAACGTTAACATTCAGGCGCAACCATGTTTATGGACCCGAGCGCTTTCGAGGCCGAGGACATCGAGAGGGAGCTCCGCGACGCCGGCCTCGAGCCCGAAACTACGGCGGACGCCGCCTCGGGGTTCCGCCAAACCGAGAGCGGAAATGAGGGTCCCCTGTTGATCCCAGGCAAAGCCAACCGTGCCTCCCCATCATCCGGGTCTTCCTTTGGATTAGGCTCCGCCGGTGAGGGTGAACGCCTTCGCGAGGACATTAAGCATTAGTAGGGTTTACGGGTTTGGGTTAGGGGTAGGGTTGCGAAACCCCCCTCTCCGTTTCACGTATTATGCTTAGTTTCCTCGCGGAGGCCAGTCCGTGGACGATGCGGTCGAAGCGCTTGCTGGAGTGTTCTTAGGCGTGGGGTTGCCTATGTACCACCAGCAGTTTTTACGTGAAACCTTATCTTACAAACTGCGTTTCCAAGGTTGCTTTGGCATTGTTGCGGTGGTGGTTGGTTATATGAGCACGTGGGTAGTACGAAACGGCCGATTTGATTGATCCTTGATGCGTGTCACGCAGCAGCAGCGGTGGTAACCACTAGGGCTAATATCGGCTCCACATTGCGCTTGGTCATGCCAAGGTTGTGCACAGTCTTCTCCCGCTAGGTTTCAGTGCCGCAGTACCTTAGCATCACCGGGGGCTAATTAAGGGAGTGCAACGGGCTCGATCAAGCATCTCGGGGATCCATGTTATGAGAGAATTCGCTTTGACACAGAATGGCAAGGAGCGATGATGTGTGTGAGCGACGATCGGCTGCCCTTTTCCCCAACACGCGCTGTGTGCTCATCTAGCCACTGAGAGCGCCCCCCTCTCCCCTGCTGGTGGGATCCATTCATCGGAATCTTTGTGATTTGGGTAAATGCCCAACGATTTTCAATCACGAGGTCGTCAGCACTAGCTGAGAGGATCCAAATTTTCCCATCCCCCAAACTCCTCTTTTTGGGGGTGACGTTTTAGGTGAGAGGGGAAGCAGCAGCGGAGGCGGCGGAGAAGGAAGGGTATGGGAACAGCACAAGAAGCAGCATCAGCCGCGGGCACTGAAGCAAAACGCAGACGGAAGCAGCCGGCAACACCAAGCGGTGCCTACGTTTGGCAGGCACGGCAAAGGCAAGAGCGGTGAACGCCTCCATTCCCGCTACTTAAAAGAGAGAAACAAAGCAGACGCGCCCGTGCAGTTTCGAGCAGCATGTGCAGTCACTTTTCACTTCTCCGTCGCCCGTTTTGGTTTTACGGCGGCAGAGGTAGAATCGGAGGGTGTTTACCCCGAGAAGGGCGGCGTTTGGGAGTAAGGCCTCCTCCGGAGTCCTCCATTCGTGTCCCGTGCGACTGACACTTGAATAGGAATGCCCCTCCGACTGTCGATAAATCGGGTGGACACATCACAGAAGCACGCTGAGTGCGTTCGAACCCAAGCTTTTGTGCTGGTGTGTGTGCAGTGCGGCAGCGCGGTTGCGTTGCGGACCCATTGTTCACAGAAGAGCTTGCTGAGCACGTTCAGGAGGTACTGTAGCCGAGAGTAATATACGAAACATCATCGCCTAACTTGTTGCAAGAGTCCCACTACCCACACCTGCTGAGACGCGATCGGTCCATCCATCATCGATCATTCTACGTATAGCGAAGGCAGTCATGTGTTGTTGGGGGTCCATACCCCTTGTTTCCAGAGAGAATGCGCAGGAGCCACTTCTTCATACTGAAGTACTGCCTCTATCCTCGGAGGTAAGCACATGAGAGGAAACATTCGTTTTCGATGCTGCCTTAAGCTGCATGCAGTGACTTGAATGGACCGTACCTGGAGAGCTCTACCCCTTCCAATTGTCCCGACATTTTGCGCTAACCTTCACCCCGACCATAACCCCAACCCTCATTGCCTATCCAGGAGGAGGACCACGATCGAGTGGTCAAGGGCGGTCGCAACTGTCCCCAATATCACCCAAGCCTTCCATGGGGAGCTCCTCGCCCCTCCCGGGGGGAAGCTCTTTCGCCTTTGGAGACAACGGAGGTGTGTCCGCTGTCGTTTGCTGCACTAGACAGACATGCGTCGAGTCCCAGATATACGTCGAACCCCCAAAAAATTGCTCGTCGACAAGCTCGTTGGGATGAAGTGTGAGAGCACCAGCTAGCGTAGCGGTCGCATTGTTTCCCCGCCACCCGCCAAGCTTCCTAGGGGACACCCCCAGCACGAAACGGTAGGCGTGTGGGAGGGGTGTGCGGGAAACTGAGACGGAGACAACGAACGCAAGCCATGATGCTCACCACATGCTTTGATGCAACGTTCTTCGTGTTTAGGCCGGTGTGTTGAACTGAAGGGCGGGCAACAAGTACCGCATCAACGATTATATTTCGCGCTCCCTCGATCGTTTCCTTGTGCAAGAAAAACATGCGCGAGCCACTCCCGAGGTGATTGTACCCGAGGAAACAGTTGTACAGCACGGGTTTTCCAATATGGCGTAGAATCAGTCACGACGCTGTGATTTCGCACGACATGAATGCCATCCGCGGTCGTTTTGCCGTGATCGTAGATGGCTAAGACATGAGGTCGGCCGCAATTCTCAGGTTCCACCGTGGTAAAAAAAGTAGGCACACGAGCGCACGGTTCTTTTCAGTTTCTATCCCTGAAATAGCACAACGAACCACTTGGTGCTGCTCTTGTTGTAGCTTCATCACTGTCACGGTTCGATGCCCCCCCCCCCCCTCCCCTTCGTGGGTTAGCTTGCCTCAGGCTGCCTACTCGACGTGAAAGCACTGTCGCAATCGCCTTGGCCATGATACCACATTCGATCAAGAAATCACGTTCACTCCCCCATTTTGGTTTTAATGTGTGACCCAACACGATCGAGTGAGACGCAACAGGGAGCTTCGCCCTTGCCTCTGGCAGCTGTGTGTACCTCTATTGCATGTTACAAACGCTTCTACCAACCTTCTCAACCCCCCGCTTGTCACGTGAGGCCCCCGTACCCCTGGGATGTCCCGTCAGTGGATGTCGACGTTCGCATGCAGCGTACGCAGTAAACACCACTCCACCAACTTCTTTGCCTTCTCTCTCACTTTTGTCGTGCTTTAAGGACTCGTCCGCCCCTCCCCCCCCACCGCCCTGTGCTTGTACGTACATTTCGTGTTTTTGGCTAGACGACGGCAGTCGTGGTGACGGTGACGAAGGAAAATTCGGAGACGATGCTCGCGAGAGCGGGGGGTCGTCCGCGACGGGCGTGAGGAGTCGTGCGAGAGTCCTGGCGCAGCAAAGAGAGATCCAGGTTGACCTCGATTCTATGTTTTATCTTTGTGGCACGCGATGTAGCGTTACGCTTCATACTTTTACGCTGGTTGTTTCATGATGTCGGGAGGTGTGTGGACGTTCCCTGAAACTGCTAGTTGTCCTTTAGCTTTTGCGCATTTTTTGTTCTCGTTCGCATCTATTCGGGACGAACTTTCCCGGTACTCTTCTCATACATATGCGAAGCCCGATTTGCCTCGTGGATTCACAATTGTCGCCTTTCTCCGCACGTGTCGTTTGCCTTACGGTTACAGCAACGAAAGAGGCGTCAGCAAGCGCTCAGCTCCGGCGGGATTCGAGCCAGCGACGCGGCTTCGCTCAGCAGAGGCCTCGTCTCTGGCGGTGCCGGTTCCCACCGCCGTCCCTCCCTCAACATCGTTGATGGTAAGTGAGTCCAGAACATATAGTGGGCCCCCTTTTCCGCCAGTCACCCTCGCACGCCTTGGCCGACCTGGGCCGAAAATCCGACCCGTTCGGATGACAGATCTCAGACTTGGGGATGTCACTCGTCGTAGGTTACCTTCGCCAAAGAATGTGATTCAAAGTGTTTTCGACGCAATTTCTTGAGATGATGCTTTCCCGCGTGCATGTCTTGTGTTGGTGTGGCGTGTGCCAGAACGCGTTTTTGTTTGTCCACGGTACCGTGGGGGCTGCCGGTCGGCAACAAGATCCCTCGTGTGTTTTTTTTTCCTGACGCAGCGGGCGGTTAACGAGAGAGTTGACCCACCAGAGTGACTTAGCTGAAACCCGAGACATGGAACCACATGTGTGTGACAGTGTATTGTACCACCACCCACGCTATCCTGCTGCGCCCGGCTCCCAGCTGAAACAGAAAAATGTTCCGATTTGTTTACGCCCATTACCCGCGTGGTGTTTTCGTGCAGCGGGGGACGGGGGCGGGCCGGCACACCCCTCCTCCGGGGATGGCGACCAAGGTCCGGAGGATAGTCTCCTCGATGGCAACGAGGAGCCGTACAACTCGTTCAGCCCATCCGTCAAGCAGTTCTCAGCGCCACGTCAGGTTTGTGGTGGGAAAATGATGTCGTCTGGCGGGGAGCGTCCTCGGTTTGTCGCTCGCCATTTGATGTGGTGATTCACCACGCATTCCTTCCCGAAGCGGTATGTACACGTTTCGAACTTCTCCCCATTAACTTTCGGGTGCCCTTGTGGGAACCAAGGGGAACACTGGCTGGTTGCAGACGGGTAGGCGTGACAGGCGGGGTGAGCGGTCGTGAGCAGAAGGGCCGGGCCCGACCCTTTTCTGAATCCTCTGGCAAAGTGTTTTTCACTGCCAATGCTCATGCAACCGATATTAGCCATGATTCTTCCTCAAGTGGAGACCCTTCGTCTGATAACCGTTGACAACACACTTCGTGAGACGGTGCACTACCGTTTCTGCTGCTGATAGCGACACCTCCGACACTCTTTGGCGTCTATATTTCTGTCTTTTAAGACGTCACAAGCGTCTACATTGCGTCCCCGCTTCCTTAGCTGCCTGCTTTGAAACCACCATTTGCCTCCTGGTGCAACCATCAGCCATTCCTTACCCAAATTTTAGTGTGATGCACACGCCCGCCGTGCATCCCCTTATTCTTCCCGCCCTCTTCGTCGAGAACGCTCATCCCCTCCCTCCCCCCGATGTGTCTCTCACGACGCCCCACTTTCGTTCATACGATCTTCACTGCCTTGCTACGTGGGCGCATCCGTGCACCACCTCTGCGGCTCCTACAGACCTTTCCCACCAATTCCCGGTTGTGCACCCGGAGGGCGCTTGTTCTATCTTGTGGCAGGAGCTGGATAGGCTTGCTATAGGCGTTGAGAAAGAGTTTCGCGACAATAATGGTACTATGGAAGGAGGGTAGTGGCGTCAGCGACCAAAACAGAAACTTTTTTGCTCCCTGGGTGGTTTGGTCGCTTTGCTCCATTTTTTTTTGTGTGGACGTACGCGAAGGTGGAAGGAGACGCCTACACCGCGTTCAACTCCAATGACCCCAGGCACGCCGCCGCCGGGAGGATGTCCGGTGGGGGCATGAGCGAGTTTGAGCAGCGCCGCTCGATCGGGTGAGGAACGCTCTAATGGTCGTTATTGGTGCTGGTAGGTGTGTTGTGTTGTTTCTGTTGTTTGCTGCTGGTGCTGTCGATAGATATTTTGCCGTTGGTGCTGCTGAAGTCGGTGGTGTTGTTGATGATGATGGTATGGTCCATGTAGGTCGATGTAGCCTTGTGTGTTGGCGATGGCTGTAGAGGTGGAGCGCTGCCACCCGAAAGGCGGAGAATCAAGGGTCTTGTGCTCCGACGAAGGGCGGGGCGCGAAGGTTTACATGGCGGGACACACACACAATGCTTGGGACAGGGATGGCCGGGCTAACTAATACAAGTGGTGGCTACGGAACCACAAATAGTTGGTGGCCAGGTTGGTGGGCCGGGGGTCGCAAAAACGGGTGACGTGGACACCTCCATATAACACGATGAAACTCGTTGAAAAAACGGTCAGTCCAGCGACGTCAGACGATGGCGAGGTTGGTGGTCCGGGGGTCGCGACCCACGCCCGTGAATGCTAAAATCGATATTCGATGCAACGACGCTTGTCCGTTTTTTCTTTTCAGGCAAATCGGACTCAGCGACTCGGAAGACGAAGAGGACGATCGGGACGATGATGCCGCATTCGGCAGAGGCCGGCGCCGTCGCAACAAGAAGAAAGCGGCACCTGACATGGGCCCCAGGTGCTCGCTCCTCCGTGCATTGTCAGCGTTGGGTTGTGCTCGTATTTAGCGCCACCCGCCCCTCCACCACCACCACCACCAACCTCTTTCTCTTGTAGCGCACAACTGCCAAACCTTCAACTCATCCTACGATGTGTCCTTTCGCCTGTTGTTGAACCTGTGTTCGTTAAGGTCGAGCGACGAAGGCTCGGGCAGCGCTAGCCCAAACACGCCCGCGGGAGAATCCCGCAGGCAAGCCAAGCATCGATTTTCTCCTTTTTCACGCTAAAATCTCTGTTGCTTATTGTCTTATTATAGTTTTTTCCTTCGTATTTTCTTTCGTGCGAGGTTTTCCTTCGTATTATCTGTCATTCATTCCTCGCTACTTCTATTCGTTTTCCTTGCTGTTACCATTACTACTTGTATTTGTTCAGGTTTAGTAGTGTACTTGCATTTTCCCACTTGCCGCTTCCCTCTAGCGAGCTTCGGTCGCAGATGAAGGCCTGTCTTCGTTTCGATTTTTTCTCGTGCGGGCGCCGCATTAGCTTGGGTAATATCTGACCCCCCCCGCCCTCCATTCGCAACATGGTGAGCTCTGCCGTTGGTCTGCCCATGGTACACACATTCTCACGCAGCCTTGAAGTTTTGGGCGCTATATCTTGCGTTTTTCTTCCACAGGGGAACTAAACCAGGCCATCCCCGAGACGAAGAAAGCCGTCTAAACAAGAGCAAGCCAGGAGATTGGGACGACCGCAACCGGCCTCCCACCAAAAGCTACAAGTGGGGGGGGCGTGACAGGTGACCCCCCCCCCTTTAATTGTAATAGTTCTGAACCATAGGCTAGTTGTATGGTGTGTGCGGTGCAATCTGTTCACGTGCTATTTTGAAACGTGCACGTCGAACCGACGTGTCAATCAGACAGGTGGATGAAGTGAAAGTCTGGAAGGGGTGTTGTTGTTGGCATCCGGACGGCAAGCCGCACCGGGGTTTATGATCTCGTCGTAAGGTGTTCACGTGTTTTCCACATTGTGGACGGCATCAAGCGTGCGATAACATCATCGTAGCAGAGAAGATATCGTACGGTCGGCACTTGCCTCACAAGCCACCCTGAGTAGGACGGGGCTCGCCCTCCATGCGGCGGCTCGCTGGACATGTCGCAGAGGTTGGTACAGCGGCTGGCAGCCCTGGCAGCCGAGACCTGACACCGATAGTCCCGACTGCAACTCGTAGCAGGGGATCGAGGGGTGAATTGTGTCTAAGGGCTACAACCACGCTTGACAACAAGTACCCCCACACACCCTTGCCAAAACATCAGTGGGGATGAACAGAGCGACGACCAAGACAGGGGCAACGGTACCGGCAGGGCCGCGTGGCGCTCCGTCGGCAGGGAGGAGAACAGCGGTAGGAGCCCTCCCCGCTCCCACAACGCTAGCCGACACAGCGGCAAACACCGCGGCCTCGACGGGGACCGTTCCGGGGACCGTTCCGGGCACCGGGGTCGACGCCACCCGGACAGCGACGGCACCGGTCCGGACGAGGAGGAAGGCTCCGGGGCAAGCTCCGAATCATCCCGCTCGTACATCAGCTCGAGCTCCTCCTCCTCTCGCGACAGCACCGTTAACAACAGGAGGGCGCGGCGCGCCTCCAACAATGAGTCCCGCCGCCGTCGCCGCCGCCACCGCCGCGGCGGTGGCGGTAGCAGCAGCAGCAGCGGCGGCTCGTTCTCGGCCTCGCGCTCCTCCTCTTCCGTCTCCGACCGGTCTTCCGGTGCAAGCGACGGGGAAGGCGGTGCGGGGAAGAGGCGGGGACGTGGCCGCCGCAGTCCCCCTCGGCGCCGGTACTACAGCGGCGACGAAGAGCGAGGCGGCCGTGAGTCTTCCAGGGGTAAAAGAGGCGGCAGTGGCGACGCCGGCGGTGGTCGGAGACACCCTTCATCGTCATCGCGCGCACGCGATGGCGGCGGCAACGCCAGCAGGGTGGAAGGGCGTCATCGGGACGCCGCCGGCTCCTCCGTAGAAGGGGGTGGCCGCCACCGGCGCAGCAATGACAGGTGCGTGTGTGCGCGCTTGAGCTTGGGTCAGCGATGCGAACCGCGCCGGCTATGAAATCGCGAGCACGCATTCTACACGCCGTCGGGTACGTGCATGTGTGTGTGTTCTTAGCACTGAGGGCGCTAAGCCCATGGGGTGTGTGCGGGCGATTCATTAGTCGTATCCGATTGCGGCAAACTACTGGCGAACATAACATACGCCAGTCTTGTAGCGGGAGGGAAACATCGCATTGAAAGATACTTTTGCCCCTGGAACCAGCGAAGCCATAGTGTCAACTTCCACGCGTTGATTTTTCTTCGTGCCAATGATAACGTTTGTTTACCCACCCTTTTCTCATGCACAATACACGGGATGCGTACGTTGCAGCCGGAAACGTATGTATCGGAGCTAGTACCACACACAATATAGATAAGCACGATTGATTCATCATACATACAAACCCCCGGGTAAAAAGCACTAGAAGAGTGGAGGAAAACCGGCTGGAAAGTAACTGTTCGTCTAGTACCGAGCATCTCTTCGCCTCTCGGGACACCATTGTGATAAAGTTCGTGTAAGGCCACGACCTGTTGCTAATCGACAACGCCTTCGATGTTAAAGAGTACATCACGGCCAACGTTACCTGCCGATACTGCCCGTCGCCTCCGGACGACCTCAAGGCCGTTTTTAAACCGAGGTGCTGGGCGGTTTACACGGGGTCCAGTGCTAAATCGTACCAAGTCGCGCGCGAGCTCACGGAAGCTAGTCAGATAAACGTTACTTCGGACCGCCCGGTCTCCGAGATGTCGCCGTCGATGCGTCCAGGTTGATGTACCAGGTTGATCTGTTTCCCCTCGTAATTTTTTCTAGTGTTATTTGCCCGCGGGTTTGTATGTGTGATGAATCAGTCGTGCTCTTCTCGGTCTCTCCTTGCCCTGATCCTCTTGTATGCGCAGTATACGATTGATCAGATCTTGTCTATCCCAATCCATCTGGGGGGGTCATTCATAAACAAGCAAATTTTTCGATACCTCCGCAGACGTGCTCAGGCACTGTACAAAAGCGCTGCATAGCACAAACGACCGTGAGTCACAGGTGAAGAACGCGGCGCGTGAACGTGCTACACTACCTCTACAATAACTCCGTACGCGAAACTTAAAAAACATGAGCCCCCACAGCCACCTCCGTGAGGGGGGCTCTCTGTTTATCTGGTCGAGAGTCGATGTTTCAGGGCTGACCCCATCGTTTCAACGCTCCGAAATATTGGGAAGAGGTGAGGGTGGGGCGGGAGCCATTGCAGGGCGGCACCTATTCCTACTCCTTCAGACATTCCGCTTGACCGTTAGCGCGTTTTGCGCTATTGGTCCTTGCTTCATTCATTGCTGCTGTTGCTATTCATTGCTGTACCGGTGTATCGTTGACCACAACCTTCCGCCAGCGGCACCATGAGCGAACAAAGGGACGGCAACAACGACCACGGCGACAACCGCAGCAGCAGCAACCGCAGAGGTGAGATGGCCTTACTTGTTCGGAGCAGCTGCTCACGACGTTTACGACGGGCTATGTACGACCCCGTATCACCCGTCGTGTATTCTCTTTTTCTCTCTGCGTGATGTCAGCATAATATGTAGGAGATGGTGGTGAGGCCTCCTGCCCCGCCCGGTCTTCTGTTGCCTCGTTTCTGATCATCGTCCCAAAGCCAGAGTCGCATGGAAACCCACCCCAAACTGGTTGCATGCACTACCACGCCGGATTCCCCGAGCACTCGGGAGTCTCAACAGCCGGCGACAACCATTGAGTCGGAGGCGGTGGCTGCAGCAGCGCCGGTTGCGTGTCCTTGATTCGCGCGACACCTTGGACCACGTAGACGCGTTCGGCCGGGAGCGGAAAGAACGCAACAGGTGTCTGGCGGAACTCCTTGTGTCTGCCTGCCTGGAATACGTACGTCACAAACCGCGCTCGGCGGAACGCGCGTAGAAGCGCGCTGCAAAACGACGGAGCAAGCCGCCAGCTTCGACGGGAGATTTTCCGCCAAAACTTCATGACACTCCCCCCGGCTTGCCCCCCCGAAGGCCACACCAAGAAGCATGAAACGGGCAGACAATATCTCACCTAGGGGTAACTGGCAATGAGGAGGCCCTCTGCTCCAGGCCTATGCATAGACTTGGAGTTTACCTCTGTTTATTCGTCCAACCTCACTTCCAGTTATACTTAAAGACGATAACTACGGTGGAAACAAGGATATGGGTATCTTCCTAGGGGTAGTGACGCACACGCGACCATCAAAGATCTCACGAGCAATGTTCTACCTGTCCGAAGATGTTTGGCAAGAAAGACCTCCCTATATTGTTTACATATATTGTTTTTTCGTCGCGCTCCGGCAAAAAGCAGGAGAAACGGCCAAACCCAGCAAGGGCGGGAACACGAAAAATACCAGAGACGGCCAAGAACAATCCGATGAGCGGTTCGACAAACGCGGTGGCGGTGGTGGCGCAGGCGAGGGGGGCGAGGGGGAAAAGAAGAGCGAGAAAGAAGACGAAGGAGTACAGGAAGCCAAGTCGAACGGAGGAGGGTAAGAAGGACGGAGGGCGCTTTTTTACGTTGGCGGAATATCTCGGACACCTCGTGTGTGGAGCGTTCGTCCTGTAACAGAAATCGAAAACGAAAGCCACACGTTTCCCACGGAAGTCTTTTCTCAATGATGATACGCGGCGTGCTCTTCTTCCCTTCTAATTCAATTCGAGGGGGGGGGGGGGGGGGGGTACCGGGGGAATATTACCGGGGCCCTTCGGTTTTTTACATCCCGGGCAAATCCCCACCCCCGGGTTTCCCGGGAATCCCCCCCAAAAAACAACAAAAACATTTCCACCTTTTTGGGCCCGGGGTTGGCCCCCTGGCCCCCCCGGTTCCGGGTTTCAAAAAAGGAAGGCGGCGGGAAAAAAAAAACGGGAAAAGCCCCCCCCGTGGCGGGAGGGGGGGCAAGGGGGGGGGGTGCCCCCCCCCCCCGGGGAGGGCTCCCCCCCCCACCTTTTTGGGGGGGGGGGGGGGCGGGGGGAAACCGGGGGGGAAAAATGGGATTTCACCTGGGCCCCCCCCCCCCCCCCCAAAAGGAGGGG